AAACAAGATAAAACTCCAGAGAGAAACCTTCATGAAACAAAGACAAGTAATTTACCTGATACAGAGTTTGAAGTAATGGTCACATCAATTTCAGGAGAATAGATGAACATAGTGAAAACTTCAAAAAAGAAACAGAAAACATAAGAAAGTACCACACAGGACCACAGAGCTGAATAATACAATAACTAAACTGAAAACTAGAGAGAATCAAAAACAGACTAGATGATACAAAAGAAAGGATCAGCAACCTGGTATACACGGTAGTGGAACTCACCAAAAAGAACAGCAAAATTTTTAAGAAAAGAAAAAAATGTATGCCCTAGCTGGTATGGCTCAGTTGGTTTGAGCATTGTCCCTTAGACCAAAAGATCATGGGTTTGATTCCTTGTCTAGGCACATACCTAGGTCTATGGTTTGATCCCAGTTCAGAACACGTACAAGAGGGCAGCCGATGTGTCTCTCTCACATTGATGTTTCTTTCTCTCTCTCTTTCTCTCTCTCTCCCCGCCCCCTATTCCTCTGCCTCCAAAGCAATAGAAAAAAAAATGTCCTGAGGTAAGGATAAAAAAAAGAAAAAAAAATGTTTAAAAATGAAGACAGTTTAAGGGACCTGTAAGATATCAAGACTAATATTTGCATCATAGGTGTCCCAGATGGAGAGAGGAGAAAGAGGAAGGTACACTAAATTTATTTGAAGAAATAAATACTAACTAAAAGCCTCCCTGATCTTGGAAAGAAAACAAACATCCAGGTCCAGGAAGCACAGAAAATCCCAAATAAGATGAGCCCAAAGAGATCCATACCAAAATACATTATAATTAAAATGTCAAAAGTTAAAGGTAAAAAGAGATCTTAAAAGCGGCAAGGGAAAAACAACTAGTTAAATACAAAGAAACCCTCATAAGATAACTTACTGATTTTTCAGCAGAAACTTTGCAAGCCCAAAGGAAATGGCATGATATATTCAAAGTGCTGAATGAGGAAAAAAAAACTTCCAACCAAGAATACTCTACCCAGAAAGACTATCATTCAAAATTGAAGGATAGTTTCTGAGAAAAGCAAAAGTTAAAGAAGTTCATCGCCACTAAACTGACAGGACATGTTCAAGGGCACTCTTTAAGCTGAAAAGAAAATGCCATAACTAGAAATAAGAAATACATAAAAGAAAAAAATCTACCAGTAAAGGCAAACATATAGTAAAGGTGCTAGAGCAATTACTTACAAAGCTAGTAGGAAGGTTGAAAGATAAAAGTAGTAAAATCAACTATATTAGTTAAAGGATACACAAAATAAAAGGATGTAAAATGTGACATCAAAAACATAAAATGTGTGGGAGAGGGATGTAACAATGTAGTGCTTTTAGATTGTGTTCAAACTTAGGTGACTGTCACGTTTAACAGACTGGTTTACGTGTGTGTGGTAATATATGAATCTCATGGTAACCACAAACCAAAAACCTATAATATCTACACACAAATAATACGAAAGGGATCTAAATATAATACTAAAGAAAGTTATCAGACCACCATAGGGGAAAAGAGCAAGAGAAGAAACACAGAACTCCAAAGCAACCAGAAAACAACAAAATGGCTGTAAATACATACCTATCAATAATTACTTTCAATCTAAATGGACTAAATTCTCCAAACAAAAGACACAGTATACCTGAATGAATAAATAAAATCCATCTAAACGCTGTCTGCAAGAGACTCACTTAAGATCTAAAGACACACACAGTCTGAAGTGAAAGGATGGAAAAAGATTTTCCATGCAAATGAAAACCATAAGAAAGCTGGGGTAGCAATACTTGTATTAGACAATAGACTTTTTAAAAATATTGTTAACAAAAGACAAAGAAGGCCTTACATAGTGATAAAGTTGTCAATCCAATAAGAGGGTATAATATTTGTAAATATTTAAGCATCCAACATATGAGCATCTAGATGTACAAATACATAAAGCAAGTATTAGCAGACATAGAGAGAAATTAACTACAATATGGTCTAAGAATCCCACTCTTCGGTATATATTCAAAGGAAATGAAATCACTGTATCAAAGAGATATCTGCATCCCATAATCATAGCAACATTACTCACAAAAGCCAAGATGGAAACAACCTAAGTGTCTATTAAACAGATGGCCGGATTAAAAAATATATGACTGTGAGATAAACAGACAGATGCACACACAGAGAAATATTATTTAGCCATAAAAAAGAAGGAAATCCTACCTTTTGCAACAGCAGGAATGGACCTTGAGGGTATTATGCTAAGTGAAATAAATCAGATGGAGAAAAAGAAATAGTGTATGATATTAATTAAAGGTGGAATCTAAAATATCCAAACTCACAGAAATAGAGAGTAGAATGGTGGTTGCCAAGGACTGGGAATAAGGGAAAAGGGTAAAAATTTCCAGCTACAGGATGAATAAGTTCTGGGGGTCTAATGTAATAGCATGGTGACTATAATTAACAATTCCATACTACATACAGTACTTGAAAGATTTTTTAAGAGAGTAGTTCTGAAGTATCAAAACAACAACAAAAATAGGTAATTATATATTATGTGAGGGGACAGAGGTATAACTAACATCACCGTAATCATTTGTAATATATATGTGTATCAAATCATCACACTGTACACCTTAAACTTACATGTTATATGTCAATATCTCAATAAAGCTGGAATAAAAGGCAGAAGCAAAAAGATAAAAATACTCAAAAGATTTGAGGACATACTTCACCAAAGAAGATTTACATGACTATATGCACTTGTCAGTTTATAGGACAAGATTCTAAAAATTATTTCTAACCTTCATATCATACCTCAATAAACCTAAATTTTAAAAGACACAGGGCTACCCTTTTGAAAAATATGCATCAAATTAAATGAGCTAAATCAGCTTACTGGGTATGGGGTTGGGGAGAGACACTAAGGAAACCAAAAATCCTTAGAAATATTGCAAATCAAAAAAAAACAAAACAAAATGATTTACCATTAGTAAATAAGAAAAAACAGATACTGATACAAACAGCTAATCTAAAGGTAAGTGCCTTTTAAAAATTCTCATTATTTGGACAGAAAAATAACAAAATTTGATGAGCTTTCAAAAGAGACCAAAAGTAACAAGGGTGATAAAGGAGCACTATGATAATGAACTAGAATCTGGAAACTTACCTAAACACGCCCCTTCCAATTGACTAATGGAAAGGTCTCAACCCCCACAATGCACTCCCACCCCAACTTCCACTATCAGGAGAAAGACCATAAACCTCCAAGTAGCTTTCTTTATTCATAACGATCTTAAATATTTTACAAATCTTACATCTACAGCTAGAGGTACAAAATAAAATGCCTCCCATTAGACAAATTCCTATCTTTCCACTTAAGCTTCAGATCAGCTAAACTGGTAATCATCTTTCTTTTTTTTCTGCCCCCCAGAAAAGATGGTGTCCCCTCTGAAACGACTTTTCTGCACTTTTTGTCTGATAATAAGTATTAAAATGATTAAAGGAAAAAGTTCGCAAGTTTTGAGCTGATCACTCCAAGAAGAAGATACATTTTTCCATTTAATAAACCTTAAGAGGTAAGTTTTAAGTTTCATCACTTTTGTTTTCTTTATGTTTATTCCATTTGGCTTATACTGTTGCTAAGTAACCAGTTCATAAAAAGATTTCCCCGACCACAGAACAGCCTCCTAGCCTGCCTGGAGGATACCAAACTTTGTAGCCAGGGCAGTTCTGAACCACACATTTTTTGGCTACCCAGCACCATACAGGTGCGCTCTCTCCCCGTCCTCCTCTCTCCTCCGTTAACCTAGCACGCACAGTGAAGCCCTAACCCTAACCCTAACACTCAATGCAACAGAAATTGTAGTAGAGGGCAAATGGGATGATTAAAAGAGTAGAGCTCTTTTACGGCACAAAACAAAGATAATTTATAAGCAGGCCCTGTCATCCCACCGAACTCAATATTCTAAGTATTGTGCCTTAAATTGTTGGGTGAAAAGTTAGCCCATCCCAATGACAAGATTAAATGTCAGCCCACCCCAATCACTCCACCAAGGAACATGCGAGCTATTTCCAAAAGCCGTCATCCAACTACCTTCCTGATATTTAAAGAGGAAGGTGGCATCGGTATCTGCACAGTTCAGAAGGAGAGGGAAGTAAAAGAGTCGGAATTCTTAGGGAGCCGCTGAGTCACCTATAGCTGTAGCCAGGACTTTACCCTCCAGGAAATCAAGGCTCTGCCCCAACTCTCATCAGGGAAGCAAGTGAGAGAGAGTAGCAGCAGCAACATCATCATCGTACAAAAAAAACACTCATTGAGTTTTTAATAGAGTTGCCACTCCTTACAGTGAAGCCCAAAATAGGTTTCCTGTCCAAAGATTTCCTCCGCAGTACACAAGGGCAGATGGAAGAAACATCTTTATTGTGGGGAAAGGGGGCGCACTTGTGAGAATGAAGGATGCCTCACCACTTTGAAACGTACTGCCGCCTGCCTTAACCCTGAAATGCCACTTTTATTGCAACAAGTTGCTGACGGACATAGTAGATCTTTTGCCCCGGTGGACTTGGCAAAGTAGAAGGGGAAACATAAACCAGGCGCGATCGGTGAAAACTCGACAAGGATCACTTTCGGTTCGGTGGGAGTTACCATGACACAATAATCACGTGTACTTGTGCGTAGACTGTCGAAACCATTCGATTCTGAAACGTGCAGGGGCTGAAACCTGCCTGCGACAGCAAATGCCAGTGGACACTCCCTGCGAGGGTTGGGGGAGCAAGGCTGGGTTCCAGCCAGAGGCGTGTCACGCCCCCGACTCTGATCCCAGCGACCTCCGGGGACGAGGCCTGACCAGGCGGACAGCGGAAGCTCGGCAGCGTTCCCCGCCGGGGTGGGGCGCTCCCGGCCCGCGCCCAGGCCACCTCTGGGAGTACCGCCCGCCTCCAGCGGCCCGGGTACCCAGACCCAGGCCCAGAAGGCGAGCGTCCATTTACCTGCTCCCTGATCCCTCTCGCCGCCGCCGCCGCTGCTGCTGCCGCGCCGCTGAGCTACGCTGTTAGCAGAGCCACACACCCCTCCCCCCTAGCACACAGACCAACAGCGCACAACCGGGACACGACCCCAACCACACAAGTTGGGTTAGCCCACACACCGCCCGGCTTCAAACACCTCTGCCCCCGGAAGTTGATTTCCGACAAGGCCCGCCCAACGCTGCGGCGCGTCACTCAACGCAGCATGAGAATCACATGGCCCCAGGCTGAGGCCAGAGCTGACGGTAACCCTGCTGTCAGCCCCCGCACCCCTAGTTTGCATGGTCCGCAGAGGGATGGCCTCTGAAACGAGGTGACGCAGGAGCTACCTCCTATTAGTTACAGCCTAGATGGCAGGCCCTGTTTCTATGCCTAATACATGCAAATAAGACCATCTCCAAAATGACACTCCCATTTGGAATTCTGTAGAACTGTTCCAGAGAAGATCCAGGCCTAAAATTTTCACCACCAACAAGCAGGGTTCAGTAAGAACTGGAACTGGGTGGACGTCGTGACATAGAGTTCAGTCCTCGAGAAACAGTTGACCAGACCACTGCTCCGTCCCATCTTTGCAGGTATGAACTCTCAACTACTGGAATGCACCTAAGCCAAGAGGCTTCCCAGACCTATGCTATATGATTTCAAAGAACTCTGCTCTACAATTATTTCTTGTCCTCAACTCCAGAGCATAGCAAATTATACATGCTATCTCTGTTTCAGAGACACTTTATTTTCGACCACCAAGCTACCCCCTTTTTCCTCAGCTGCCAAGCAAATGGTTTCCCCAGGAGAAAAGAAAAGACAATAACAAAACTGGTAAGAGTTTCATTTGCAAGAAAGCATGGTTATATAGATTCTTTTTTTCCATTTCAGACTCTCAGTAGTTGCTAGAAACAGTCAGCTAGCATCCATTTGTTAAAGATTGTTCCATTTTAACATGGGAGAATCTGGGGACTATTTATTGAACAATTTTTTAAATATGTTTATTGATTTTAGAGATAGAGGAAGGGAGAGACAGAGAGAAAAACATCGACGTGAAAGAGAAACATCAATTGGTAGCCTCCCATACACACCTCAACCAGGGATATAACCCATGATCTAGGTATGTGCCCCAACCAGGAATGGAACTCCCAACCTCCTGGTGTAGCCACACCAGCCAGGGATATTGAACAAGTTTTGATGAGTGCACACCATATGCCAGGACCGGGCCAAGGTGTGGTAATCCAAGAGTGAACAAGATCCACTCAAGATCTGTGTCTTCTAGAGTTTAAAGTCTATTGAGAAAGAGAGACAAGTAACCTGAAAACGAACTTAAGTTTCTGGAATATTCACATTTTTGTATAACAGGCATTCTTTAACATTTTGGGAAACATTATTTTCTCATCTTTGTATAGAGCAAAACTTGTTCAAGCCAGTAATAATCTCTGTTCTGTACTGCAGATGTCAAATGTCAAAAAGGAATCCTGACAACCCTCCAGTAAATGTGGGCTCAAGTGGTTAACAAACAGTTTCAGTGTTGAGCACAAACGTCACCTCTTCTGCAACCCTTTTCCTCTGACTTCCTACTTTGTGTACACAGCAAACAGGTTCCCATTCTAGGAAATACTATGCTTTCTTACACATATTTGTTTACCGGTCTACTAGATCACCAAGTCAAAGACCACTTCTCCTTTGTCTATCTGGCAGTCTACTTCTCATTTGCCTTTGTATGTCCAGCAGCCTAGCACAATGTCTATTAGTTAGAAGAAAGGTATATAATAAATGTTTCTTAAACTGAGTACAATTATCTTCATATAATTCTATGTCTCCTATCTCTTTTTGCTGGAAACATTAGATGAGTTTCTGGATGTATCTACATGCTCACTTTGTCCCACTTATACTTAATAATATTTAATAAACAGATTTCTGATAATGATAGAAGCTAGTATTTATTGAGCACTCGCCATGTGCCTGGCATTAGCATACAAATCAATTATCTAATTTGTCACCACCATAATCCTCAAAAGTAACTGTATTAGTATATTAACTTTTTAGATGAATATACAAACATGAGGGAGAGTAACTTGACCAACTGGCAAGCAGGATTCAAAGCCAGGTCTGCTCAACAGATTTTCACATCATTTGTTTATCAGTGAATCCAACCCTGCCACTTCCATAAAGTTTTTCTCCCCTTCCCACAATAATCTGTGCCTTTTATTTTTTTTTATTAACCCTGTGCAGGTCACAGCTGATCTGAGAGATACAAACTCTTAAATATTGTTACATATATCAGGTACATAGGTTCAAGATCATGACCAGCTTGAATGTTATGGCTTAACATTAGTCACATACAAACACATATGCACTGGATATATGTAACAATATTTAAGAAAACAGTTTGTATTTCTCAGATTAGCCGCAATGTCCAGTGTTAAATGTACGAATTCAATGGCTTTATTATAGTCATGGAGTTGTGCATCCATCAAAGCAATCAACTGTAGAACCTTTCATCACCTCAAAAAGAAACCTTATACATTTTGTCAGTCACCCCAATTCCTCCCATTTCCCACTTCATTTCTAGGCAACCACTAATCCACTGTATGTCAAAGTAGATTTGCCTATTCTGGACACTTTGTGTGAAGGGAATTATGCAATATGTATTCTTTTATAACCAGCTTCTTTCATTTTGCATTGTATTTTCAAAGTTTATTAATACACTCACCAATTGATGGGCATTTTAGTTGTTTGCACTTTTGGCTATTATGAAGAATGCTTTTTTGAACTTTTGTGTCAACATACATTTATCATTTCTCTTGGGTCTATACCTAGAACTGGAATTGCTGGGTCATATTGTGACATTATGTTTAACCTTTTGAGAATTGCCAGGTTATTTCCAAAATCACTGTACAATTTTACATTCTTACCAACAATGAGTAAGTGTCCCAATTTCTCCACAGTGGCTCTTCTTATCTCCCCTAGAACTTACCTCTCTTTTACTTTTCAGGGTACTTTCCATAAGCCATCTTGTTTGATTATTTACCTTTTTTTTGTATATATCTACAGGTCTATTATGCTACTATGTCATGAGATGTTATGTTACTATGTTATGTTTCTAAGATGAAAAACATGTTCTTAAGAGGATCAAGTTTTGAGAAAGATAAAGACAATTAAATGAGATATTAGAATGATAATAACCAGCAAAATCAACATTTTTTAAGTATGCAGGAAGAGGACCATGCTAAACAGGAAATATTCCTCATAAAATGTAAAGCTCAAGATGAGTCTTAAAGAAACAGTAGAAATCGGCCAAGCTAAGAGAAGACAAAAGTATATTCCAGAAAAAGGAACATGTATATTTGTATGCATTTCTTTACCTATTATAGATGTGGAGATAGGTATAGAATGTAGGTAAGTAGTATATAAAAGGCCAACAGGTACATGAAAAGATGCTCAATATCCATAGTCATTAAGGAACTGCAAATTAAAACCAAAATGAGATATCACATAAAACCTGTTAGAATGACCTTCATCAGAAACACAAGAGATAAATGCTGGCATGGTTGTAGAGAAAAGGGAACCCTTCTGTACTGAGGATGGGACTGTAAATTGGTACAGCTACTACAGAAAACAGTATAAAGGATCCTCAAAAATTAAAAATAAAACTACCATGTGACCCAGCAATTCCATTTTTGGGAAGATATCCAAAGGAAACAAAACTGTAATTTGAAAAGATATTTGCACCCCCATGTTCGTAACAGCATTATTTACAATAGCCAAGACATGAAAACAACTTAAGTGCCCTTGGATAAGGATGAATGAATAAGGAAGTTGTATATATACGTACAGTGGAATATTATTCTGCCATTAAAAAAAAACAAACGTACCATTTGCAAGTGCATGGATGGACCTTGAAGGCGTTATGCTAAGTGAAGTAAGTCAGATAGAGAAAAGCAAATACTGTATGATCTCGCTTATACGTGAAAAAGAAAGAGAGAGAGAGAGAGAGAGAGGAAGGAAGGCAGGAAGGAGGGGAGAGAGGGAGGGAAGAAAAGGGGAAGGGAAGGGAAAGGAAGGAATCATATTTGTGGTTACTAGAGATTGCAGGCAGAGGTTGAGGGGAGGAGGAGTTAGAGGAAGGTGGTTGAAAGTACAAACTTTCAATTTTAAGGTAAATAAGTACTAGGGATGTAATGTATAACAGGGTGAGTGTAGCTCACACTGCTGCAGCACTAGTAACACGGTAACACTGCTGCACCATAACTGCTGTATGATATATAGGACAATTGGTAAGAGATTAATCCTAACAGTTCTTACCATAAGGAGAAAATTTGTTTATTTTTTTCTATCTATATGAGATGGATATTAGCTGAACCTATTATAATAATTATTTTAAAATATGTATAAATCAAACCATCATTCTGTATGCCTTACACTTACAGAGTGATGAATGTCAAATATTTCTCAGTAAAACCGGGGTAAACGAGTTCTTGTCACAAGAAAAGTAACTAACAATGTGTGGTATGGATGTTAACTAGACCTCTTGTGTAGGTTATTTGCTGTTAACTAAATTTACACTGGCAGGGCATGAAGGAAATAGAAACTCCAAGATGTAAAACTTTGAACTACCTATGGTCCCCAGCCATGATTATCTGCCTACAAAAATAACAAGAAGCAAATGGTTTTAAAAAAAAATACTATTAAAAAGAAAATATATTGGTATATAAACTTGAAACCTGATGTATAATAGCCTTTTTAAAAAATCTTAGGACAATCCTCAGATTTCTATACTCAGCTCAATAGGAAATGAGCTGCCAAAATAGTGTAACCTCCTAAAAAGAGCGCCTTCCCGAATGACCATATCAGACGGGGCCATAAGGGACACAGAGCAAAACAGGAGCTGCCCCAAGAACACACACTCAGCAGGGAGTCCTCGCTGTTCCTGTTTACAGAACATGCCAGGAATCAGCGACCACTGCAAGGTTTCCAAATTTCCTATTTTTAGATGGGAGTTTTTATTGCAACTACTTTGTCTCTTCTCTTTTATTGCAGTTTTCATTTTGGATGGAATAGATAATGTGTCATTGACTGCTAGACCACAAGGAACTCCAGATAAAGCTAACACATTTTGGAGATAGAAGATATTTGCTAGTTACA